GTTCGGAGGTTTGAGGTTTCCTGGCAGATGGCCCGCGTGGTAGCGTGGCCGAGCGGTCTAAGGCGCTGGATTAAGGCTCCAGTCTCTTCGGGGGCGTGGGTTCGAATCCCACCGCTGCCATTTGCATGTTGCATTTTTTTATAGGCAACTTTATTGGGGCTGTAGTTTAGAAATATTTATGGGGAGTGTAGTGGATGGGTGAGTAGCTCTGGCAAAGATAGCTCTGACAATTCAATTTGCTTTAGTCAGAATTCCCGAGTCCTGTCTGAATTGTTTGTTGTATCCTTCCTTTATCTCATTTCCTTTATCCCATTTGCCCTCAGGCTGTCGGTAGCGTGGCCGAGCGGTCTAAGCCGCTGGATTTAGGCTCCCATCTCTTCGGAGGCGTGGGTTCGACTCCCACTGCTGCCAACTCAAGCTCTGGTCAGTTACAGCTAACAATCTGCAAACTCTCATTCACAGGCAAGGCTGTGACGTCGAAACTTCAAAGCTTAAGTTGGCCAGTCAGTACGTCCCAAAAGCAGAAACCACGGTGACTACACAACTAAGTAGCCTCCTAAATGAACAAATAGCTTTAACCGATGTTGACTAAATCACAGAATGCTGAATTAGAGGAGATAAGCAAGCGTTCCTTTTAACAGTTAACAAAGCTAACCTTATTGATCAAATCTGTGCCAAGTAAATTAGATCTGGAAAAATGGGATGTCCTCATTCAATTAAATACAAATTCATATACTACTCATTAATACGATAAGCGTTAGCCTGGTAGTTACCTCTCCTCAGCTGCAATGTCGTATTATGAATGATCGTCTGACTGCAAGTCGAGCTTTCCACGTGGAAAAGTGAAGGGAGGAGGGGCGCAGTGAGGGGGGCGGGGCGTATGATTGAAGAGGATGCGCAGGATAGTTTCGCTTCAGCTGGCATTACAGTCAGCCTTCAAGTTTTAAATCGTTCAAATGATGTAAATGATAACGTTCAATGAATAGGAAAACCTATTCATTGGAA